ATACATCTATCATCGCCTGTAATCTCGACAGTGCACTACAAATTGTATCCTTGATAAATATATTAAAGCAGAAGTTGAACGGACCGGACCTGTGGTATTTGCTGATTGTTTTTATATCGTATTGGCTTGAAGTATGTATTAGTAGCTGCTCCTTGAGTGTTGTACGGTGCCCACAACTTTTGTTAGTGAAATGATACTTTTCCATTTAGTGATTTTGACTGGGTTTTCGGTACGTATATTTTGATGATGAAAATGGCAATGCTATCATTGTTTTTATCTCCCTTCCCGATACAGTTGCCCATTTGTGTATTTTGGCTATCAATTCTAGTTTATGATAAGCGTAGGAGTATACTCATATTGCTTGTTGGTTTCAACTATGACTAACTCAATCTTCAACCGCGGTTTCGATGTATTTACCCCTGGAATAGTAAAGGTAAGACGACACAGCCTATATAATCTGGTATAAGTCATTGCTTTCTATTGTCTGTTTCATATTGGTTCTCATCTGTACCTCCGCATGGATCGTGTCTTTTACCTTTGAAGATATCTGGTGATCGATCTAAAGTGACTGGTGTATCGCCTTACTGTATTTCGCTGTTGACTATACACGGCACAGTGTCCGGAAATGTAGCATGCTCATGAGTAATACCGACAAGCACCACCACAAAATTTATACACTGGGGAATATAGGGAGACCTCATTTACCAGCTTGTCGGCATGCGATATTGCTTTATGCTCAATCTGAGAACTCTGAAGATCAGGGATCGAATTTGTTGCTTTTGGGGTATAACCATTTGCAATACAATCTTCGTTTATCGCCTGCAGTACAACATAGTATGCCCTATGACATTGAAACGGAACCACTAAAATTATTGTTGTCTTCCGATCGTTTCACTTCTCTCTCGGTGTGTCGCAGATACCTATCGCATTCAAGTACGTCTCGGAATTGAAATTACCTTCTGCTAAACTGAGTCAATTCATCAGTATAACATTTCAAAATGTGGAGGCTGTCAACCGTTCGCCATTTTTTCGGACGATGATTTTATCCGTTTATCTCAATTAGAGTGTATGGCCAATTCCATACATGTACCTCATAGTACGTGTGCTGCAAAATAGGCCCGACAATAATATATATTTGACTATATATGAATTGCGTTCAACAACCAGAAAAGACATTTGCAGGAGATGATTCTTCTCTAGTCTGTAAATGCAATATTACACATTCCAGAAGGAAGCCCCCTGATCTCTGAAGATATATATATACCACAACTATTGTACAGCGTGCGATAGGATTCAATGTGTCGAATGTCGGAGTGACCTCACAATTCTTTTCCTACATATGAGGTTTCAGTGGCCAGTGTTTGCACGATAGAGCGTTTAAATGCTTCCAAGGCTTTTATCTGTAAATGCAATATTACACATTCCAGAAGGAAGTCCCCTGATCTCTGAAGATATATATATATCACAGCTATTGTACATCGTGTCATAGGATTCAATGTGTCGAATGTCGGAGTGACCTCACAATTCTTTTCCTACATATGAGGTTTCAGTGGCCAGTGTTTGCACGATAGAGCGTTTAAATGCTTCCAAGGCTTTTTAAGTAAGCGTTTGTCGAGAGAAGAAACTAGCCAAGGCAACGAAGAGGGAGCATTTTATGCGGTCATTCTCTGTTGGAGATGTGGTTGAAAATATGCGTAAAACTACAAGTGGTATAGGATTGAAGTGCGAATGGTTATTCTGCTATCGGGGTCCCTACACTGTCACCGATATCAGCGGGCATACAACATACATGGGCACAGATGATTCTATAACTAGCAATACCAGTATGTATTCAGTTGATCAGCTGAAACGTGACTACCCCAAGGTCTCGATGTATACACCTTTTTGGGAACAAACAAATCACACGGGAGACATTCAACGTTGTAGGTGCAAACGAGGATGAGGTATCCTCCATTTTGAAAAAGCGTAAGGAAGACACTGGCCATAGATATGAATATGCATACAAAGCCCTATTGACGAATGACCTCAAACTCATTGGTATGCTGAGCGAGATTTGCACTGTGCCGAACTCGTCAATGAATCCGATCATGGAACACGGAACACTAGTGTGGCGCATTGCAATGAGAAACGAATACGAACAAGGACTCGCAATCCACACTATTAACCCACATTTGAGGTCAAATGTACCCCTCATTTTTTAGTGCCGGGAATGTATTCAAGCGACTTGTCTATACACACAGCCTTACTTGATTCAATGCAAATTGTACACAGAACACGGGAGTACTGTGAAACAATGTCTAACAAATTCCAGCACAACTCCAAATGGGACCATGACGAATGCTCAACCGATCATATACATATGTATTTAATATTATATATCGCGTTACAATCCGCATGCGTTGGGCTTTTTTTTTTATGTCTTTGTGATTCTACATGCATTGTGCAGTTTACTTTGCATAATGTATGGTGGTATATATATCATCATGATATCCGTATATGTATATTCATAACTCTTTATAAGTCACACTTGCTATATCTGATTCATATGCACAGATGAAGATGTTACTAATCACGTCCAGTTGTTTATCATTGAAGGGATTTTTAACGCTTACTATACACGGTATAAGAATTTATCAACGCTTACTGTAAATAAGAAGAATTGTCACTATAACCGGTAAAGTGAGAAGACCGTCGCTGTTGTGGACGCTCCAAGTTGCAGGTGTTTACTTTGACTTAATCATGTTAAGAGTGATATTTCCTGGCTGAAGAACCCCTCCAAAATAACAAGAAGATCGTGATCTGTGATTTGTGAAGTGACATGATCTGACACAATCTGCAACAGTATATAACTATCAGGCTATGATGTTATTGCGCGCAGACGTTCTTAACCCGGCTAAACAATAATTTCTTCAATAAACTATCTCAACAAAATGGCGCCAGCTCTTTTCACTGTTGAGAAATCGCCGTTTTTAATGACCAATCATCTCGTGGAACATTACGGGATCGAAGCCCGGACTCTATCGATTGAGCCGGATCGATCTGCTCAGCAACATCCTATTAACCCTGTTTGGAGAGTCAGAACCCAAATACCAATACGAGGAAATATCTAACGAAACCAACAAAACACTCACCAAAAAAAAAATCGAGAGAAAACAAAAGAATACAATACATACATATGCAAAGATGAGTCCTTTTTCTTCTTCTTCACTTGAGTGGTAGAGTATATCTAGGTGATATAGTTGAGAATTGTGGTGCCGAAAACTACAAAAATCAAATTTATCATTAATGTGGATGAAGCGCAATATTGCCAACGCATTTCCGGAAATAATGGTCGGCAAATTACGGCCTATTTGAAATATAATAAAGCAGCGCGAAATACACTTGAGTATTATAGCATTATCGGATAATATCCCTGAGAATGAACTACGGAGACAACTTTTAACGTCAATGTAGATAAAACGTTTTCTGAAACAGTGTTCGACAATTTCAGGCCATATTGAGATAGAATCAACCAACTGAAACTTAATAGCAAAACAGGACGATAGAGGCCGCCAAATGAAATGACCACTTAAGTCACAAACTCCCAAAAAGTTTCATAGGAGTTGGCTTGAATGCCCGAACGAGGTATAGGTATATAGTTTTCAAGCCTTTCAGCACCACATCGTTTTGCGTGACAGATTGTGATCTGATTGTCCGGGATCTATTAGAGTACAACCCGCGTTCCTATATTTTGAAATTGCACTTCTCCTGCTTTTGATAGATGATATTGATGCATTTGAATTGAGATTAAAGAAGACAAAATTTGAGTATATTGAAAATTCTTCTCCCTGCAATCGATCGAGCAGAAGAGTTAATGTGCTTTTTGTATGAGTGGAATTATCTTTGGTTACGCCCCAGCTTTTTGAATTCAACAGACTGCATAAAGGTATTGCGGCGCGTCATTCCGAGCACTTACCTATCAATCTTCAAACTACTTAGAATTGTAGTCTCTACGAGCGCAAAAGTGCATGTAAAGAATAACCGAATAGTCTAACAGTTGTGATTTTAACCATCCCTGCTGACAGTATATACACTTACATTCTTGTATTGTGATGCCCTAGTCCCTCTCGCTCACCACGTCGGTTTATATTATTATTCAAGTGTCAACAAATCGGATCGAACCGATATCGAATGGCTAGATTTATGCTTCGATTTTGACGTCCAATCGTAGGTTCTACATTTATAAGTTATATCTAAATCCAACTTTTAATGAATCCAAAATCCAAAAATAAAAACACCAAGCTAGTGGAGTGATTTCACTGCACGAGAACCCTATCACTACGGCACCTAACTCTCCACCTCACTCAAGCATAGACGGGTACATTCAGTTGGCCAGACAGGAGGACTCTATTTGTCCTATTTCAAAATAGGTTGTTACGCTCTGAGATTATTTGATTATATAACAATTCTCAATTGAGTTGAGTCACTGTGAAAGAAATTGTTTTAAATGAAGAAAAAAACTGCCTACTGTCTACTAAAGTCTCCGGACTTTTAAGTTTACTATAGGGTCATCCGATTACCATAATTACTTTGTTCTGATCGGCACTAATTTTCTTGACGTTTTACAGTTGAGACGAATTTATAAGACTCAAATCGCGCAACCCCTGTGGGGCTAAAAAAGACTACAATAATTGTGATAATATCTGCAACCACATGGCTACTACTATACCCTATAGAATACCATACAATGAAATTCTAAAGTAATTTTGCAATTATATTCCAACGGGATATTGGCCTTCAGCGAATACATTTTATTATATGCAATATATACATCGCTCAGGTTTCCACCCTACCACCTCCGAAGTTCTGTTTCTGATCTGCTGATTCCCAGATACTCCTTCCCTATACCACTTAACTGCTATTCGCAAATCACCGCCCAGAAGCAAATATATATAATAGTTTTCTTCTCTTTCGACGGGACACGCCGTTTTAGCGCGATTTCTTCGCAACCCTTCCTTCCTATAGCGACATAACTTTCGCCAACAATCACATATTCCTTCTCCGCACGATACTCGCTGCCGTTACTGACACTGTTGACGACCCTTTTGCAAGCGACATCGCCATTTACTTGAGTGCACACGCCGCATTCTTGTCCGAACTTGACACCATCACAGCTGTCATCGATCGCAACAACAGGTACCAGGCGACCTCCAATGCACAAGCCGACCTCGCCCGTGTCAGACGAGACCGCACCAACATCGCCAACAAACGTGATGCTATACACGCCGAGATTGACGCACAAAGCATTAAAATAGCCGCGCCTACCGCCAACCACGAACGTATACGCCACTATCGCAATACAATCATCACCGACCCCAACGCAGCCACTGCAGCACGCGACATCGCACGTGCAGACTGTGATCTACATACCATTGAACACGAGTCACTCATGGCTGATCTTGATCGCATCAGGAACGAACGGGACGCCCTCATCATTAAATGTGGCCAAGCACGATCTCACTGCAATATATGTGCCCTTAAACGTGACAGTCTTCTTACGATCTAATCCACACACCAAACCCACACACAAACACTACCACCGAGTGTGATTTTATATACAACGACCTTGCACATATCCGTCAAGAACGTGACGCATATCTGGCGAAAGGCGAAGTAGACCCGTGTTGAACGAGACAGGTTTCATCACGAGTTAACCCACACATAGGCCATAAACGCGAACAATACCACCTCTCTCGACAACAACCTTGCACACATCCGGCACAAACGCAACACATATCTCATATCTTTAGAACCGCGAAGAGGCCCACTTGGAACTCGTACAAGACCAGGAAGACCAGGAACAATCGACCACTTCCTCCGACACGCAACTTGTATTCGTACATCAAGACCTCCGTAAGCCACATACTCTTGCCGAAGCTGGTATTCCACACTTACGCAACGAACGCAACACATCCCGTGCCAACTTCACCACGCTACGGACCAAATTCGCTTGTATGCTACGACGCCCTTGCCAAGAGAGAAGGCCTTAGTCTCTGCTACCCAGCTTCATGATGAACTTGCCACCCTCCACCCCCATACCGATCTTGTGCAGGTTCTCGCCTCCAAGTTCCGGAGTGTTAAAAATATTTTATTGGACTCAGCTCCTCCACACCCTACGGGGCCAAAATATAATATCAATTCTATTTTGGGCTATATAATTGTGATAGTATCTATAAAAAAAAACACATGACTATTACTATACTATACAGAATGCCATACAATAAGATAATGAAATACTTCTTGTGCAATTATATGCCCCAACAAGATTTATATGTGATCCAGATTTTTAAGATTTACGTAGAATGTGCATCTAATACGTCATGATCACGCGATTTTACAGCTGAGCGGGATAGATTGAAGGAGTTATGAAGAATAAGAGTATGGGATGTGATGGGAGTCGGCAGAAGACTATTGCGGAGGAATCGCAAGGGTGATAAGGATAGTAGCATAAGACTACTATAGAAAGATAGTGTAAAGATACAAAGGTGAGGTAGACGCTTGGTGATAGGAGAAAGCAAAATGTTCCTGTAAAGGGAATGTATGACAGTGCATATTGAAGTAGGACCCATGTTGTTATATAGGATAGTAGTTTAAAGGCTGTTATGCATGAATTTAATGCAAACTATGTTCTACGTGATATCCCAGCACATCTGTACTGTACCTCCACATTCAGGGACGAGGGCCTGGTATCAGAACCTTTTTTTTCAGTGTTAGATACACACGCGATATAAGTAATTGGGAGAATATCATTACAGGGTTATTATTTCTGGAGAGTACACATGAAACACAATACCAGAACACACCCGTACAGGTAAGCGCATGTTTTTCCATATACTTTTGCATGTCTGGGACATCGCACGTATTATTCCAAACGGGAGAAACTCGGATATACATTGGTATCATTTAACCAAGTATATCATAAAAAGAGAAAGGAAGAGAGAGTGAAAGAGAGAGTGAGAGAGAGTACTGGCGACCATCGCATGTACATATTAGCCAAATCTGTTAGGTACGACTCCAATGACCACCGTACCAGATATATACCGTGGCAAGCAATGAATCGCATTGAACGATACATTAAAACCCCCCCTTTTTCTTCCATTAGATGTCTTTTTTAACAGCCCAAGCCTTAGAATCCCGATACATATAAAACAGTGGGACACGCACAAATAAAAATAGACATTTGGTACGCACGGTCTGAACTAGTTAACAATCCAAGACTCCACAGCTTCACTTTTATAAAAAAAATACAAACTTCTACCGTATGAACAAATCTTCAGACGACAGCACTAAAAAACACTGAGTCTCTATTCGTGTTTCTTCAAGTCACAAAGCCCCACTCGAGGGTTCTCTCACAGTGGTCCCGGAATAATCTCTTCCGGTCCCACAATAAGTTGAAACTCCATTATCAGCAATATTCAACCAATGTTGTATATTCAGAGTAATGTAAATGCCAATCGCAATTACTCTATATTTGCCTATTCAACTCACACCAATTATGTATACTAATGTTTTTAAAAAGGAGGATTGGATTACCACCGGTGCTTCACGCACGACAGGTTTGTGCTATTGCTAGACAGGCTTTCAATTATAGCTCTGTATATACTAGAAAAGACTGATGAATACGATTCAGTAATGTTGGATATTACATAATCATCCATGGAAAATTCAAATACTACTGGTATCCACACCCTAATCAATATAAGGCTTTTACTTATAGTACAAATCAAACCCTATGAGGTGCAATACCACACCCTATAAGCAGTGATCAGAGAGTACTGATGACTGTCTCTACCAAATTGGAAATTACTGATGATGAGCCACTTCGGGATTGATTCCTACATCGTTGAAAGATAGGGATTCAGCAATCGATCTCATGGTTTATATGGACAGTGCCGAAGGTAAATAGCAACCCAGAATGCGTCTAAACATATCCCTATACAGAGAAGAACTAAAGTATACTACATCCCGACAATAGGGTATTGGCCTCCATACTGAATGTTCTTTACCCGTGTCCAAAAAAAAGTATCTCAGAAAACGGCTTCAGTTTTCTGCCGCAATTTATTTACCGAGCCCTAAAACTGATAGTAGCGAATTATTGGGTTTGCAATGCTGTATTTTGAAACAAAAAAGCAATGCATCGAAGGCTTAAAAGCGTCAAACGTAACAACTAGTCAGCTTATAGAGCGTTCTTTGGCTCCGCTATTTGGGATCCTCACCTCTCATATATTATTAGCATGCAAGCGTTGTGCTGTGTCAATACCTTGTTTGCTAAGATGACTGTGTCGAAACGAATTTATCGACTCACGGATGGGTATTTAAAAAAATAGGACGTCAGTCCTATTTTAAGCACAATAATGAGTAATTGTAAGAAAAATACATGATTGTAAGAAAATAAGAACAATAAAGTAATATATAGCACGACCCTTTGGAAGTCTTTCCCGCGTTTTCTGAAACACAGCTCCATCGAGGCTTGGGAAGGCATGTCTAATGACTCATTTTTGCTAGGTTATAAATAGCATTTTAGAGTTCTTATAATTCATTGGCTGGATAGGTTGCGAATGAAAAAGCAGACAAATCTATGTCAGGCCCTCGAATTATTATATACTACATCCCAGTGCAATATATACATGTATCACACATGTTAAGAAATATACTATCACCTAGTAAGCAATGCAGACACCTACAACGTTGTATACACCTGCAAGCCAATCGTGCATAAGAAGTGATTTGTGACTGAATTTAGAAGATTGTAGTTACCGTGAAGACTATGGGACTAAAAAGGACCGCCAGTGTGAGCAACCAAAGAAGATGCTGGATCCGATTGATCTGGAGGTATAGGGTATACAGCATTGATCAAGATGTTGTATCAAAATTAATCCGAGGTCGGGATGTACTGGATGCGATTACTCTGATGATGATAGATGTCGCATCAGATTTGATCATAATAAGCCGTTGCCGAAGGGACAGCGTAGTAGCGGTGCCTCGTCAGACGAAAATTGATATTCATGTGTTATATACATGTGTATGTTAAAAGTAATACTTTAATGTATAGCCAGGGATTATGTACAGTTATAGCTATTATAGACGCTTATATATACCTATTTATCTGATATGCGTATTCTATACTTTAGCATGTCATATGTTGTATATGAATACAATGCACTATATGTTACTTCATTATATAGTACAATTCTTATTTCATAAGCAAGAAAGAATGTGCTCATTTTTTCCGTCGGTCTACTCGCCTTAAACAAACTATTCAAATCAGTTTTGAGATTACGAGTACCTGTATTGACTAATCGTTTTATCATGGTCAGGAAGCTCTACTTTTCCGTCTCTAGCACATAAATAACACGCAGTCAATGAAGGTGCACAATTGTGCTAAAATCTAGCCGTGATTTGAACCAACTCTCACCAAGCTCCAACACTCATATTTGCACTTTTGATTTGACAGAATACTATATTGTTTTAAAGCTATTTGTCTGAATATAAATTCACATATTTCAGTACATACAACGCTAAGTGCCTGTACAGCAGGTGTTGGATATGTGAGATCGGAGTGATTAATCACTCTTGCGGGTAAAGCATACTAGTAACTTATTTATTGTTCTCCAGGTAAAGTAATATTGTCTGTTTAACGGTATTTATACACGCTACACACCATTCAGATTTCCGACCAGCTTTTTCCAGGACTGTTAATTATTTACTTGTTCTAAAATCTGCAACACGAACTTGTACCGGCATCTTGTAAGAGGTAAGTTGTTTGTAAGAAGATGTAGGCTATTAACGTTTTATTTGCTAATTGTGACCTTTTCAAATTGCTTGGTATGTCATCTGTTTTGAATACAATAATGATTATACATCATCGCACGTTTTGTAGTCGTCCGCTGAGACTGTATGCTATATGCACCAATTCTTTACTTGCATCAACGTCCTATTTGCCTCCATGCGCGAGAGACTCCCGCTACTTTTTGATTAATTTGTGTCCATTGGCACATAATATTGAGTCCTACTCCTTTTCCTTAAACCCTGTTCGAAAATATCAGCGTAATAATTTCCAAAAGACGCGGCTACACAGCGTATGATTTGTATTTGTATTACCTGACATATCCTAGCGCATATATTTGCGGCAGGCACATTAGGGATATTATTTGCAAACGTATCTGTGTTTTGAAGACAATTTCGTATACATTTTTGTATTTAAATAGGTGAAGGTTGTGATTTGATTGCTTCTTCAGCGCATCTATCTGCCGTTTTACTCGTTTAGACACACTTAGACTAGAGTCGAATAATGTTCGAAGTACCTTAGTATGTGAATAGTCTGGTGATGTATTACATGTTGCGTTGGTGGATATTTTATTCGCTACAAAAATCTACCGAGATGGTAGTGGTAAATGTAAATTAACTCTACGAATGGTTTTGTAAAATCCCTTAGGCTAGCATCATGTTTTAACGCATTTCTAGTTTGAACGGCCAACAAAAGCTAGTTAGAATGAAGGTCTAAGCCTGATTTACTTTTAGCTCTTCATAAACCCGTGAATCTGCGTGTAGATTTGTTTCTGCTCTCTCGACGTCGATTGGATTTGAATCATCACTACCAGATCCTATTCTATCATATTCTTGCGTATTGACTTTCCAGTTGATCGGCATGTGAGTGTGATAGCTGTTATATTTTTCACTTACGTTGATTATCAGTTACAGATCTCTGTATAGGAAGGTGTATCTACAAAACGCATTTATCAACAAGTTAAATGTTTTCACTATAAGAACTGCCATTATGCCAACAAAATGGATATAGTTTATAACGCAAAGGAAGCCGTAATATCAGATTACTTTAAGTCGGTTGAAAAGGATGGAGAATTTTACTTGATAATTGTTACTGCAACAGAAGGAAAAAAATAGTTACTGTACTAAGCTATCTGTGTTCAATGGTTAAAAACTGAAAAACTGCTATTTCAGTCCGCTGTGGTGAACATCGTTGGTCCCCTCACAATCCGCGAGAATGATAAGGAATAGACTACGGCTTACAATTTTGAGGTCGCTGTTGGTCGGGATGGGCCTGCGTACTGCAAGCCGTTTTATAGTTCGACTACTGGACCCAGTTTTGTGTCCTTCTTGGCTATAGTAAAAGCGATGCCTAAAAATTATTCTTATAAGTTCAACATGGGACAGACACCTGTGGTGGCAAATGTACTGGTAAGCTGAAATTTCTGAAAGGATAGACAAATCTTTACATTCTTGCGGATTGTAAGGGGGGCAACGACGTTCACCACAGCGGACTGAAATAGCAGTTTTTTTTTTCCAGTTTTAAACCATTGAACACAAATAGCTTAACACAGTTCCTATTTTTTTTCCTTCTGTTGCAGTAACTGGTACCAAGTAAAATTCACCATTATTTTCAACCAACTTAAAGTGACCTGAGATTACAGCTTCCTTTGCGAAATAAACTATATTCATCTTGTTGGCAAAATGGCAGTTCTTATATTGAAACCACTTTTTAGTAATTTATTGATAAACTCCCTGATTTTGAGTGAAATTTCAATAAAATTTCACTAAAAATTAAATATATCTGTAATAGCTGCTTTGCAGATGATACAGAACTTCTTAACAGCCCAAGGTTTATCAAGTTACTTTTTGCAGCCAATACTTCAAGGTTGAAACAATTGGGACGGTCGCGGCGTAGAATGGAAGTATTCTGTTGACCATGGCTGGCATCTTTGTTGATGAATTTGTCACTGCGTTCAGCAGGGGATTTGATGGCCATTAGACCGGAGACGGGTGGCGAAGAATCAAGGTGATTGTCACCGGCAAATTTGAGCACCTTTTTATAGACTTCGTCGATTGTGAGGGCATCCAGATCGTGATCGAATATGTCCGCACGGAGTAACTTCTAGTTGTCATCGAGGCTATAGGGTAGAGCACAAATCTGGTACTTCTCTGGGATGTTTTCACCGACGTCGACCAAGTGTTGGCGAATCTCCTCCAAAGCTTGTAGCGTTGTATCAGGTGAGCCCGTCGATGTAAAGCTGTTAAGATCAGCAGTGCGCCCCAGAAGCGTCTGTGACTACCAGTATTGGTTGTGACACAGATGTGATAGAAGAAAACATGTGGCACCTTTGCCATGTAATTTTTGTACACGGAGTTAAGCAAGGGTTCACTGATAGAATGGATGAGTATCCGGCGACATTTCCAGTCTGCGGCTGGGTCTGGTCCTCCCCTGGCGCTGCGTTCGTTGCACATTGAATGACAGCGTTGAAGTACACCAAAGTGTGCCAACTCCATGCGCAATCTAGTGATCCAGTTGCCGAAATTTTGCCAACCTTTGAGTTTTTCACCATTATAGACATCTTTGTATTTCGCCGTATCCTAAATATCGAGGGCAGGCTTAACGGGAGTAATGTCATAGCGCTCAGCAATGAATTTGGAAGTTCTATTAGGTCTGTTGCTTCTGTTGGCCTGGTTGAGACTGTGAATGTGATCGTTGGCCTCATTTAGCGCTGCAGGTAAGCCATCCACTTCGCCTTGAAGTTCAGCAGTATTGAAGTTCGGTTTTGGTCCGTGCCTATATATGCTTCTGTTTTGTGGAGTTGAGCTCGTGTACTGTTGAGGTCAGCTTCGCATTTTGCGAGTTTCTCTTTCGTACCAGAGGAGCACGCCTTAAGTATAGAGTTCGCGTTGAGTCTGGACATGCGTATCTTGTTCCTGATTAAGCGTGTACTCCTCGTCGATCATGCGCGTTGTTTGTACACTCTAGCCTCGTCTTCATTGGCGTCGGCACGAGCTCGAATAAGTGCGATTGTCGCTCGTGAGCAGGATAGGTGTGCTAGGAGACCATACCGATAGGGTTGTACCCGAATTCCTGCATAGGTTGTGAATGCTATGGAGTGATCTATTAGCTTCGTTGAGAGTATCATACCTGGGACAACCTGGCCAATTTCTGGCAGCAAACTCTTGTGCAACTTCAAGAGAAGAGTAAGAGTCGGGGATGGAAAAGATTACTACAGAACTCATAATGAGATGTTACTGTGTGTATACGCGTGATTTTGGTATCTTGCGATGAAGAATGTCGGTGGTGGTCGCTGAATACGTCGTACTGGGTGTGCTGACTATACTCGCTGGCAATACTTATTAGGTTATCTATAAGGTAATAGGCCCATAACCTGTTTGAACATATAGAACCATAATATATCGAGTGGAGAGTGACTTTATTTACATCTCTATGGAGGGTTTTATATATACATCTCCTATGCATATGGAGTCACACGTAAGCTATAAATGCATGACTTATTGTGGTGAACTCTTATTTGACAGCTCATAACACCTGTCAGTTAACCATTAAACACCTCATGACACCTGTCATTTAACCATCCTCCTCTGTGTACCGAATTGTAATTGTGACAGTGCTGATTCTGTCCAAACAAGAGTACCTGGCGGCCAATCCCGATCATAGGACAGTCAATTCTGTCCACGTCGGCCGCCTTCTTCTGGGCTCGTTTCGCTTTTTCAAAATGGGCCAGGGCCTGTAGATAGTGGTCCAAAAGTGGAGCTTGGACCGAGGCAACCAAATCAGAGTCGCCTGCATCCTCGTTCGAAATCGCTGAAAGGGTGCGGGTATACGCGCCCCGTAAAAAGGGTATACGGAGTTGAATCAATCACCGTAAACCACGAGGCTTTATAGTTCGCGAAAAAGATAGGGATATCCAGGCGCCACGTATGCAGGAGGCCAACAGACAGAAATCGCTTAGTCTAGTAGATCAAGGTACGTATGAAGACTCAATCCGGCCGTTGCCCGCGTGTTCTCCCGTTGTAACATAGTGTATGCGTGCGTTATTGTCCGCTGCGTACTGAGAGAATTCGTCGCTTCTCAAAGGACTATCCTTGTCCGTCACATACAGCTGCACATGTCCCTGTGGTCGAATTTGCTCATCACAAAAATCTGATCAAGAAGGTCACTGTGTACTGATCAGCTCGCATACAAGTGCCAGCTGCGAGAACCCATCCTGTGCTGCCAAGATTGTGTTGTAACCCTCTCCATCTGGGCCAACGGAGAGGTAGTCCAAGTTTACCTCAGCTCCGATGGTGGCCGGCCGGGTCGGTTGTTGCAGTAAACCCTTCTTGCGGCCACCCTGCAAGCCGGTCCGAATACATTCACCACAAGTATCGAGGATCGTGCGGAGAAGGGCCACAGGTACGTTCCATGCACACTTCTGCTGGAGGAGGGGACGCATTCAGCCCGAGAGGGGGTGGCTGAAGCGGCCATGGAGCGTCCAAATGACCTCAAGGATGGCTCCCGAGGAGGCCACTCCATGAACAGATTGCAGCTGAAGATTAGTTAACGCTGCTAGTACATGAGAGAGGTCCATGGGGCGGGCATGGTAGGTACAGGGCATAGGTTTCACGACGTATCCGTAGACGAGTGGTGTGATACAAGGAACTCCTGTGGAGGTGGTTGGGACTCCT